GTGGGGTCTCTTATTATTCTGCCTCTTTCATTTTTTCATTTTTGATTTTTTTTTTTTAATTTGGGTCCTCTCTCTTTTTCTTGGTGAAGCTGGCTAGAGGATCATCAATTTTGTTTAACCTTTCAAAGAACCAGCTATTGGTTTTATTGATCTTTGTACCATTTTTTTTCTCTGTGTTATTTATTTCTGCTCTGATTTTTATTATCTCCTTCCTTCTGCTCACTCTAGGCTTTTCTTGCTGCTCTCTTTCTAATTCTTTAAATTATAGAGTTAGATAATTTATTACCATCTTTTTTTGTTTTCTGAGATGCTATGAATTTCCCTTGTAGGACTGCTTTCACTGTGTCCCATAGATTTTGGATTGTTGTGTTTTCATTGTCATTTGTTTCCAGAATGTTTTTAATTTCTTCTTTGATCTCTTTGTTAACCCAACCATTGTTTAATAGCATGCTATTTAGCTTCCAAGCCCATGATTTGTTTTCATTTTTTTTATTGTAGTTGATTTCTAATATTATTCCATTGTGGTCTGAGAAGATGCTTGATATGATTTCAATCTTTTTGAATTTGGAGAGACTTTGTCTATGACCCAATATGTGGTTTATATGTGAAAATGTCCTATGTGCACTTGAAAAGAATGTATATTATGTAGCTTTGGGATGAAATGTTCTGAAGATACCAATTAAGTCCATCTGATCTAGTGAGTCATTTAAGATAGCTGTTTACTTGCTGATTTATTTTGTCTAGAGGATTTATTCAGTGATGTCAAAGGAGTGTTAAAGTTCCCTACTGTGACTTACTGCTGCCGATCTCTCCATTGATATCCTGCAGAAGTTTTTTTTTTTCTTTTAATGTATCAATATTTGGGTGCTCCTGCATTGGGTGCATATATGTTTACCAGAGTTATATCCTCTTGTTATATCTATCCCTTTAGTATTAGGTCTAGTAATAATTAATGTCGTTTTCTAATACTTTTTTTAAAATCGAATTTATTTAAACAATACAACAAAATTTAATCAACAATATAGTTGCCGTTGTTTTCTACTACTTGTGCCCAACGCTCAGGAAGCATTTTAATCCCTCTGTTGTAAAATTCTTGTGATTTTGATGCAAAAAATTCGGTCAATACATTTTTGAGGCATTCTTCATTATTAAATTTTTTTCCAAGAAGAAAGTTTTGCAAAGAATGAAACAAATGGTAATTGGAAGGGGCAATATCAGGAGAATATGCAGGTTGAGGGAGAACTTCCCATTCCAACTGGCGCAGTTTTTCAGCAGTGATTCTTGCAGTATGAGGTCGTGCGTTATCGTGGTGAAGAATTATGCCCTTCCGATTAATCAGCGCGGGTTCTTTTTCTCTTAAAGCTTGGGCTAACCTTTCCAATTGGGCACTATACACTGCACTTGTAATGGTTTGGTTAGATGGTAAAAGTTCATAATGAAGAATTCCTTTAAAATTCCACCGAACACACAACATCACTTTTTTCGCATGCAAGTCAGGTTTTGGCGTGGGCTGCGAAGCCTCATTTTTGTCCAACCATTGAGGCCGCCTTTTCAAATTAACATACAGCACCCATTCTTCATCTCCGGTAACAATTTACTCTAAAAACGGCAAATGGTTTTGACGAGAGGGGAGCGAACTGCAAATTGTGACTCTTTGATTACAGTTGTTGTCGGTCAACTCATGAGGAACCAATTTTCCAAACTTTTGGACTTTGCCAAGTGCACGCAATTGATTGGAAATTGTTTTCTGTGAACAATTTAAAGTTGCCGCAAGCTCTTGTTGGGTAATTTGAGGATTTTGCACCAAAAGAGCTTGAAGAGCTTCTTGATCAAAATTGGACACACAGCCTCGACCACTCTTGTCATCTAACGAAAAATTTCCCTCGTGAAATTTCTCAAACCAACGCTGGCATTTTCTGGCGCTAACTGCATCTTGACCAAGAGCACTACAGATGTTTTTTGCAGCCTCACTTGCTTTTCTTCCTAATTGGAACTCGTAAAGCATGCAGTGCCGAATATGCTCTTCATCCGCCATCTTCTTAGCCCTAGTTTTGCAACAAAAACCAAACCAAACACAAACTTTTTCAAGCAAAACTTGTTAATTGTACTTCACACGTTCTGTAGATACCACATGTTTGAAGGTTATGTCAATACAAGTCAACGCCAAGCAAGATTTTAAACGAATGTTTAAAAACGACATTAATTATTACTAGATCCGATATTATGAAGTGGTCTTCCTTATCTCTTTTTATGGAGGTCTATTTTGTCTGTTATAAATATTGCTACTCCAGCTTATTTTTTTTCATTTCTATTTGCCTAGAAGATATTTTTCCATACCTTCATTTTTAGTCTAGGTAAGTCCCTTGTTCTGAGACAGGTCTCTTGTATACAGCATATATATAGGTAATGTCTTCTTATCCATTCAGCCACTCAATGTATTTTTATCGGAGCATTTAATCTACTTATGTTTAAGGTTATTATTGATAGATACTTGTTTGTAGCCATTCTTTTTATGTGCCTGTGTTCCTTTTCCCCTTTCTATTCCTTCTTTCTACAACAGTGCCTTTAGCATTTCTTGCAGTACTGGCTAGATAGTGATAAACTCCCTTAGTCTTTTTTTGTCTGTGAAGTTCTGATTCCCCCTTCAATTTTGAATGATAGCCTTGTTGGATAGAGTATTCTTAGATTCATTTTTTTACTTTGACTCACTTTGTATACTTCATTCCAGTCCCTTCTTACCTGATATGTTTCTGTTGACAAATCATTTGATAATCTAATGGGATCCCATATAGGTAACTTTCTGTCTCTTGCAGCCTTTAAGATCCTCTTTTTGTCATTAATGTTTGCCACAATAATTATGAGGTGCCTTGCTGTGGGTCTTTTTGGGTTCATCTTGCTTGGGATTTTCTGTGCTTGTGTGATGTTTTTATTCCCCAAATCCTAGAAGTTTTCCATCATTATTTCTTCAAATAGGTTTTCTAAACATTGTTCCACTTTATGTCCTTCTGGCACCATTATTATACATATGTTATTTTGTTTCATGTTATCCCAAAGCTCCATTAGGTCCTCCTCCTGATTTTAAATGTTTTTATCCAATTGCTGTTCAGATTGTGTGTGTGTGTTTTTCCTGCCCTTCCTTCTAATTTGTTAATTGTTTCTCCACTTCTAGTCTAATGTTGAAACCTTCTGTTATGTTTTATTGTAGCTATATCACTTTTTATTTCCTCATGATCTACACTAATAAAAGAAAACATGCAAATTTACCATACCTCCTTGACAACCACCAGCCAATCAGGTGTGAGTATGCAAATCAACCAAACAAATATTATGGGTTAATTTGCATATGCAGGTGCAGAGAGAAGACTGAAGGCTCTGGCTCCAGTGAAGACTAAGTGATGAAGCAGCTATTGTATACATTTGAAGTATTCTCATTTTTAAAATTAGATATAACTAAATATAAAAGGGCTAAACTAGATAAACATTTATGTTTTCATAATTTTAAAATTCAACAATTCTTATTTAGTGATTGTTATGATGCTTGGGAACAGATATGAGAAACTAATATGGAATAGGAGCAGTTAAGTGATCTCTGGGCTTGTTATCAGTATTTCATTATGGATACTATTTCTCTCCTGTTTTGTTTGGAATAAGAGTAAACTCTATTTTCACACAGGATAGAGATGAAGAAAGAAAGTGATCAATTTAGCAGAAATAAAGAGGGTTGCTCATTCTGTTAACAATATAGAACCATTTGAATCATGTTGCTATTTACTTTATCTGTGTTTCATACAGAAGACAATCTAACAGGTTTAAAATGATAGGATCTCTTTTTAATCCTAAATCTACCCCCGGCTACTATTTAATTTGAGTTAAATTATAATCCTCTGTAGAGAATCTTATCTAATAAAAGAGTAAGATGCAAATTGACCATACCTCTGCTACACCAACAAGCCATGCCCAATAGCCAATCAGAGTGAGTATGCAAATTAACCCCAACAAAGATGGCTGTGGTCACAGAGAACAGGAAGGAGGCTTGGGTTTCCCTGGAAATGGAAGAAGCCAAGCTTTCTGCCTGCCTTTGTGGGCCTAAGCCTCCACTCAAGGCTACAAAGTTTCAATTATAGAAGGTAAACAAATCCAAACAGAAATGGTGGCAGCCAAGGAGCAAGCAGTCTTGGCTCTGCTCCAGGCTACAAAGTTTCAATTGTAGAAGGTAAATAAATTCCAGATACCAAGGTCTCCACCTGGGTCACCAAGGGACATGGCTGGCCTGCAAACCACCACAGGCCCCTAGCCCAGGCTGCCCCACATTCCAATGTAACCCCCACCCTGATCCAGGACACCCTTCAGGGCAAACCAGTTGGTCCCCACCCATGCACCAGGCCTCTATCCTATCTAATAAAAGAGTAATATGCAGATTGACCATCATTCCAACACACAAGATCAAGATAGCTGCCCCCATGTGGACACAAGATGGGCAGCAGGGGAGGGTAGTTGGGAGGTACCAGGCTTTCAAGGGAGGGCAGTTGTGGGTGATCAGGCAAGCAAGGGAGAGCAGTTGGGAGGCACCAGGCCTGCAAGGGAGGGAAGTTGGGGGTGATCAACCATGCAGGGGAGGGCAGTTAGGGGTGACCAGGCTGGCAGAGGAGGGAAGTTGGCAGCAAACAGGCTGGCAGGGGAGCAGTTAAACATCAATCAGGCTGGCATGGGAGTGGTTAGGGGGTAATCAGGTTGGCATGCAGAAGTAGTTAGGGGAAATCAGGAAGGGAGACAGGCGAGCAGTTTGGAACCAGCAGTTCTGGATTGTGACAGGGATATCCAATGAGGGGTCCCAGATTGGAGAGGGTGAAGGTTGGGGTGAGGGACACCACCACCACCCCATGCATGAATTTTATGCACCAGGCCTCTAGTCACATTATAATTTCCAGAGTGAGTTTATTATTTATTTAATGATAATTCTTATTATGTATTATAACCTACTTATTTTTTTTTTCTTTCAGCTGCTAGAGGTGCTCAATTTGCTTGTTATGATGAAATAAATACAAGAGGAGATAGATATGGAAACTGTGGACCTAACTATTGTTCTTTTCCGTATGTATTAGGCAGTTCTAATTTTGTCTGTAATGTAGCTTATATAATATGTTGCGAATATCCCATAATATATTATATGTACAGACTAAAATGGCATTTTATACCAGGTTTTCTTTGTTTCATTATCTGAGAACAATGTTATTACCTATTGCCTACAAATAACATGCATCTATAATGTTACAATAATGACCATAAAATAGCCTCTGTTTAATGTGATGAGGTAGGCATTGTGTTAGGTAGTTTATATACATTATATAATAAATATCTTTAATACATCAAATATTTGTAGTAAGAGCTATTTTATTTTACTAATGAAAGAATTAAAGACCAGCAACCATTGGTTTAAATATCAGAAGTCAGTATAGGAGAGATCAGGTTGTAAAAATCATTAATCAGATTGTAAAAATCATTAATATTTTCCCTTGCCATATTGCCTCACAAAACAAAAAGAGCCACATCATACATAAGTCAGTGGGCTCAGAAAATTACTGAGAAAACTCTTGAAACCGAAATTTAAGTCAGTGAAATACTTTTTTAACTTAGCTATATCAGCAATCTATGCTAATATGAGATTTTTTTTCTGCCTTTTGCTTCTAGTAATCTCATGTGTGGAAAATTAGTTTGTGCCTGGCCACATAAAAAATTAGTAACAAAAGCAAATTTATCTGTGGTTTACACACACGTACGAGATGAAATATGTGTGTCTACATTTCTTAACTCGGACAGGATACCTTCCAACGCCCAAACAACAATAAGTACACCTGGAGAAAGAGATGAAACATATGTACAAGATGGCACTCCGTGTGGTCCTGATATGGTAATTAGAACTACAAAATTATAAGTATTTTCAACATCTTTTATGGTTATACTCATTTTAACAATGTACCAACCAATGCACTTTAAAATAACCTGATTGAGGTATTATTTATATAAAATTTACCTATGGTAAATGTGTAATTCATTGCTTTTGATTAATTTAGAGTTGTACAACCATAAGCACATCCAGTTTTAGAACATACCATCACCTCTTCTCTTGCCCACTTGCCCATCTCTAGCCCTAAGCAACACACCCAGTTTCCTCTATTAACATTGAGCAGTAGTGTGATACATTTGTCATACTAAGCCAAGATTAACTAAATCTAGTAGTTTATTCAGATTTCCTTAGCTTTTCCTTAATGACCTTTTCTAGGATTCAACCCAGAGTACCATTTTGCATTTACTTACTGTGTACATTTAGGCTCCTCTCGACAGTACAGTTTCTTATAATGTCCACTCCCACCCCCCTTCTTTGGAAGAAGATTACATCATATCAAATATACAGACTTGTTGATATTAATTTTGATCACATGGGTGTGGTAATATTTGAATACTTATCACTAAATAATTTTATTTTCTTTCTATATTGTACTTCATTGAATAGCATACTATGCATAGCCTATATTTAAGCCTATATTTGAGTAATAAGTTGTATTCCACTTTCTTGGAAATTCAGTATGTACTTAAATCATTTTGAATTATGCATATTTTTGCCTATTTTTCTCTATTCATTTAATCATATATTTGTAGCAGTATGGAATCCATGGATTTTTATGTTATAGTTTTGGTTATTATCCAGTATGACTTTATTTTATTGTTCAAATTGTTCTAACTTTGGCTATTGGGAGTTCTTTCAATTTGTTTCTATGTTGCTTCAACATACTATTATTATTGTATGTGCTTTTCTTTTGGAGTGCTTCCTTACTTTCTGGAATGACAAACTATTCTAGGTCCATTTTGTATATTTTGTGTCTTAGTTTCTAGAACTTGCATTCTCCCAGGAGGCCTGGTTCATTTTAACTAGAAATGACCATTAGAAACCAAGATCTAGGTGCTGATTGTGCTTTTGCTACTAGAGTTTCACTGATCTAGCCCTATCTGTAGACAGAACTAGGAAATATATATCTGGCTGGTGTGCATTGTCCCATGCACCAAGAGATCACTGATTTGATTCCTAGTCAGGGCACATGCCCAGTTGCAGGCTCAATCCTCAGTAGGGGGTATGCAGTAGGCAGCTGATTGATATTTCTCTCTCATCAGTGTTTCTAATTCTCTCTCCCTCTCCCTTCTTCTCTCTCTCTCAAATTAATAAAAACAATATTTAAAAATATTTTTTCCAAATGTTTTCAATTTCTTGCTCTCTCTTCTCCTTTTGGCATACCCATGATGTGAGGATTTCAATGTTTGAAGAGGTCTCAGAGGCTTTCTGCACTATCTTCATTCTTTTTTTTTTTTTAATAAATTTTTATTGTTCAGATTATTATAATTGTTCCTATTTTTCCCCCCATTACTCCCCTCCATCAGGTTCCTACCCCACCCTCCACCCTTTCCCCACCCCCACTGTCCTCATCCATAGGTGTACAATTTTTGTCAGTCTCTTCCCGCACCCGCCACTCCCCTCTTTCCCGAGAATCCTCAGTTCAGTCCCTTTCTATACCTCTGATTCTATTATATTCACCAGTTAATACTGTTCATCAGATTTTTTAATTCCCTTGTTTTTTAGATTCACTTGTTGATAGTTACGTATTTGTTGTTAATAATTTTTATCTTTATCTTCTTCCTCTTCTTAAAGAATACTTTTCAGCATTTCATATAATTCTGGTTTGGCAGTGATGAACTCCTTTAGCTTTTTTTTTTTATTTGTGAAGCTCTTTATCTCACCTTCGATTCTGAGAAGCTTTGCTGGGTAGAGTATTTTTGGCTGTAGGTTCTTGCTATTCATCACCTTGAATATTTCTTGCCATTCCTATCTGTCCTGCATGGTTTCTGTTGAGAAATCAGCTGACGATCGTATGAGTGCTCCTTTATAGGTAACTACCTGCTTTTCTCTTGCTCTTTTAATATTCTCTCTTAATCTTTTGCTCTTGGAATTTTAATTACAATGTGTTTTGGTATGGTCCTCTTTGGATTCCTTTTGTTTGGGGTTCTGTGCACTTCCTGGACTTGTAAGGCTAACTCTTTCACCAGGTGGGGGAAGTTTTCTGTCACTATTTCTTCCAGTATGTTTTCAGTATCTTGCTCTTTCTCTTCTTCTGGGACCCCCATAATTCTGATGTTGGTTCACTTGAAGTTGTCCCAGAGGTTTCTTACACTATCTTCAACTTTCTGGATTCTCTTGTCTTCTTGCTTCTGCAGAGGAGTGTCTTCTGGCTCTTTGTGTTCCAAATCTTTGACTTGATTCTTGTGATCTTCCATTCTGTTTTTAGGACTCTGTGTAATATTTTTTTTATTTCAGACAATGTTTTCTTTATTTCTAGTTGGTTCCTTTTTATTTCTAGTTGATTCCTTTTCATATCCTCAAAGGTCTCGTTTATTTTATCGACCTTTTCTAGGAAATTCTTGAAAAATCTTATAACTGTGGTTTTGAATTCTATGTCCATTCTTTTGCTTTCCTCCATTTCCTTTCTTTGTGGCCTGCCTCTTTTCTGCATTTTAGCTGCTTCCCTGAGTTGATAGAGTAGCTTTGTGTGCTAGGTGTCCTAGCAGGGCCCAGTAGCTCAGCTTTCCCAGTTACCTGAGGTGGACAGTCTTGGTGCAGCCCTATGTGGGCTGTGTGTGCAATCTTGTTAAACCTTGCTTGTTGTTGGTATCACTGGGGAAAGATGATCTCCAAGCCAACTGGTTGTGAGGATCAGCATTGTCTCAGCTAGGAGGGCTTCTATGCTCAGCTTGGATGGGGCAGAGTCTCAGAGTGGCACAGTTAAGCTTTGGTTTCCCATCAGCCCCACCTTAAGAGGGTCCTATTTGCCGAGTCCCACAACACTGGCTGCTGGTGCGCGCACTATTTGGGGGAAGGCTATTCTCAAGTTTTGCCTGCTCCCTGACCGTCAATTTCTTCCCGGATCAGAGTTGGCTATCAGTGCTGTTGGGAGGTTTTTTCTCCCTAATGAGAAAGCTAGCCACTGGGAGGGCTTCTGTGCTCCACTTGGATGAGACGGAATCTCAGGGTGGCACAGACAAGCTTTGGTTTCCCATCAGACCTCCCTAAGAGGGTCCTGTTCCTGAGTCCTGCAGTAATGGCTGCTGGCTATGCACACCTCTGAGAGAGTTTTGCCCACTTCCTGACAGTCCAATTTTTATCTGACTGGAGCTGGCTATCAGTGCAATAGGAAGGTTTTGTTTTCCTCCTGAACAAGAAAGCTAGCCGTGCATTAGCTGCCTGCCCTCTTTACACATGCTACAAGTAAGCCAGCAGCGAATTCTGCGCCCTTTCTGTGTGCACAGATCTCTGTACCTCCACAGCTTCTGAGGCTCAGCGTCCTTTCTCTTCCCTTCCTAGATGGTAGAGCTTCCACTCAGCCAGCCTTCTGGTGGTTCAGGGCGATGTTTGCTCTGTTTTCCGGGTGTAATTTTGAAATTGTTGTGGTAGGCTGCATTTAGGTGTTTACCTTATGCCACCATTTTGGTTTCTCTATCTTTATTCTTTTTTTAAATTATTTTTTCTTTTTTCCATTTTGATTGGATACTTCTTGTTTACTTTATTTCAAATTGCTAATTTGATTGTAAATTATTCTTCATGTCAGTCAGTGTATCCTTCATTTCCAAATGATTCTTTTTTATGGTTTCTTGTCTTTTCCATGCTGTTGATGTTTTCACTAAGTTCCTTGAGCATCCTTATAACCATTGTTTTGAACTGTGTATGGTAGTTTTCTTGCCTCCATTTAATTTCGTGTTTTTGTTTTTATTTTTTTCTGGAGAAGTCTCCTATTCTTTCATTTTGGATCTTTTTATTTGTCTCTGCATTTTGGAGGTTTTCCTATCTTGTTTTTATGTATTAGCTAGAGATGCAACATCTTTTGGACTAGCTGGAGTAGCCTTATTTAGTCGATGCGTGTAGGCTTCAGTAGCACAGCTTCCCCAGTCACCTGAGCTGGATGTTCCAGGCACCCTGATGTGGACTGTTGCCAGGGCCAGCCTGGCAGGTTGAAATGGGCTGAGGCAGAGAGGTGGGAATTGAGAAAAGAAAGAAAGACAGAAGAGCGGGGTTGGGAGGACTGCAAGTCATCCAGGAACTGTAGCAAGTTTATTCACTGTGCAATGCTTTTTATACACAAGGTCTGTCCAGAGGAATGTATTCTTTGTTCCTCTTAAATCTCTAAAGGAGAGATAAAACTGAAGGACAAATTCTTAGTACAGTAAATCTCAGTAAATAGTTACAGACTTCTTGACAAGCCATGAAAGATTGCTCTCATTCTACTGATAATCACCATCCAAACAAGTCAGGGAAAACTGTTTGGGTTGGGGACCAGCCCTGCTAGCCCCCTCAGATGCAAGGACTTTGTGAGCTTACATCCTGTCACCAACAGATCCCCCTTTTCTGTTTTTTAGGCTACTAATAATAAAAGTAAAATTTAAATAATAATAAAGCTCTAATATTAAAGTAATTATAAACAATGCCAATGCAAAACTGAATTATATATATATGTTATCATTTTTAAAACTTGAATGTCAAGAGCAAAACTTTGGCTATTAAAAAATAACAAAACAATAAGAGAGAAATTAAAACTATGGATATGTTAACATTTTTAGCTACTAAATGAAAAAAAAGTCTCTTGTGCTGCTGATGTATATTTACTCAGAGTCTTTTGACTTGGCTGTGCAAGACTTTGTAGAACACTGGCAGCTAACAGATGCTTGCATGAGTAGGAACATGATTGAAGAAGTATCTGCTGCACTTCAGTCATTGATTTTTCAGATGACTCTATGTTGGTACCTCAGTCTCTTGTGTAGCTTTCAGTTTTCTTCTTCTTTTGCTTTGCTGTCATTAGGGCAGTCCTTAGT